GAGGTTAAATCTACAGGTAACCTTGCTCCACATTGAAAACCCAGTGTGTTTAGCTCCTAATTACTCGTACACTGGCGAGAAGTAAATACGACATTCGATTGCACATCACGTAGCTTCAAGCACAGGAGTAGCTGACATTCAAAATTCGCGTAATTCGCAAAGTCAAGTTTCTTGACACATTCTTGATTTGGTATTGCCAAGGTTTAGTATAAAAGCATATTTCTTAATGGTGAAATCACACATGGAAAGAAAGGGAACTTCTTTTCAATGTTTTTAATTTTCGGGGTTTTTTTGTGCCAAATTATATTATAAGAAGTACATTGAATTATCTTCGCAATTCACCAAATGCTTTAACATGGCAATTTATGGCTGAATATTGCCTGTCAGAGGTGAGGTGAAATGGGGTTTAACACCATGCTCACGAATATTGCACTTATATAGCGACGTATAAGCATCTGTGCGATGGCTGGATGCGTGTTCTAGTCCGGACTAACGCCGGTGTTATAGTGATACTGATACTGAGATACCATGCCGCAGTTGAACATGAATACGCCACTCAGACACAGTATACTGACTCCGACCTGACCAGCCCTTGCCTTACCCTCTTAATGCTGAGCGCCAGACACTTTAAATAAGCACCAACTTTTATCTTATGTTGGTATGACGCGGCCGGGGATCGAACCATCGACCTTCCGCTTCCCGGGCAGACACTCTATCCTCCAGACTACCGAGGCGGTCTGCCCTTTAGAAGCTGTGTCTCTGAATGTAGATGCTCGTGGTTACAGCGCTTGCGTCACTGATTAAACTTAAGACCGTGGAATCGTGGAATTAGTCTTTACTGTTATTCGACTTTGTTCGCCGTAATGTGTCGACGTAATGTGTTATAACATGTTTTGTATAACACGATTAGCGAATTGGTAATTATAAAAAAATCCTATTTGAAGTTAACGCAACTAATACTTTATCTAGCTTTGGGGAGGGTTTTTATTGTGTTCCTGTTATGGTTCATCATGCGCCATGAGCTTGATAATAAGCTTTGTTTAGGTTGTTGTTTAACGCCGCATGCATCAATATTCCAGCTGTACGACTGCGGTCCGTAAATGACAAGGTCTGAACCAGACAATCCACTGATCGACATCTTGAGGATCCATCATTCTGGGAGACAATGACAGGCGTGCACTAAATTTGATTTGCTTATGACATGGTGGCTGTAGATATTTTTTTTCAATTCTGGGCCAGACAAACATGTGATTGATATAACTAGTTATGGTCAAAGTTCGATGACACGCAATCAATCAAGCCACTCAGCCTGACCAACCGATCCCGTTAGTCGCCTCTTACGACAAGCGGGGGCGGTCGGGTAGCCTAGTGGTTAAAGCGTTCGCTCGTCACGCCGAACACCCGGGTTCGATTCCCGACATGGGTACAATGTGTGAAGCCCATTTCTGGTGTCCCCCGCCGTGATATTGCTGGAATATTGCTAAAAGCGGCGTAAAACCATACTCACTCACTCTTACGACAAGCATTGGTTGTTTGGTTTGCTTGTTGGTTTGTTGTTTAACGCCGCACTCAGCAATATTCCTGCTAAATGACGGCGGTCTGTAAATAATCGAGTCTGGACCAGACAATCCAGTGATTGACATCATGAGTATCGATCTACGCAAGTGAGATACGATGACATGCATCAACCAAGTCAGCTAGCCTGACCACCCGATCCCGTTAGTCGCCTCTTACGACAAGCAATGTCGCCTTTTACGGCAAGCAAGGGTTGCTGAAGACCTATCTGACCCCGATGTTCACCGGTAGGTCCGCATGAACCTTGAGGCGACTTAAGGATCGGTGAGGTGAGGTGAAATTGGGTTTAACGTCGCGTCCAAGATTATTGCACTTATATAGCGACGTGCATGTACCTGTGTGTGTTTGTGTGGCTGCTTGTACTAGTCCGGACTGATGCCGATTTATAGTGCTAGCTCACTGAGATACCATGCCGCAGTTTAACATGAATACCCCACTCAGACACAGTATACTGACTCCGAGCCGACCAGTCCTTGTTTTAGCCCCTTAATGCCGAGCGCCAGACATGGTAACAACGAGTACCATCTTTTAACGTCTTTTGGTATGACGCGGCCGGGGATCAAACCCCGGACCTTCCGCTCTCCGGGCGGACGCTCTACCACAAGACCACGGAGGCGGTCTTAAGGATCGGGTGTTCAGGCTCATTGTAATGAGTTTGGGTAACTCTCTTGTATTCATCTCCTATCAATACAGACCGTTTAACAAACATGAGATTTGAATAATAATCATACGTCATCACACGCATTCACAGAACACGTTACCCCGGAGCATTATCGTCCGTAAACCCTGTCAGTTGGAAAAATACATTGTATAAGTGTTACTTTAAAATGTCCCTAAAATATCAGTTAGTTTACAAATTGACTGCATTTTGACATTGACATTAATATATAAAATCGGGAAGTTGAAAATTAGGAATCTGTATTGGAACGTCGGTAATGCAGTAAATTAGAAATATACTGTAAATCTTGATTTTAACGGGAGCGTGAATTAAATGTGAAAAATGCGAGTGGCCTTTGCTCGCATTATTAAACATCGCATTTATATCAACAATAAGACATTTTGGATAGCAGAAATACCAACTTAGACATACGGTGAAAACAAACAACTATGTATTCCTAATCAATGTTTATTGAGCAGCACTTGTAACAAGTATATAAACAATGTCATTCAAACACTAATTACATCCTGTGAATTGTCACTGCTGGGGTCAACACAAGCGTTCTACTCACTTATGTCATCACTGATCACACCTGCAAGTCCAGACAGACGCCACCCAACACGGTGTCTTTGCTCTT